GTGTGTGTGTGTGTGTGTGTGTGTGTGTTTGTGTGTGTGTGTGTTTGTGTGTGTGTGTGTGTTGGTTGTCAGGCAGGGAGACCAGCCTGTCAGAGTAAATAAGCAGAAGTGACAATTGAGCTGTGAGCAGAGTCTCAGTGAGGCAGCTAAAACAACCACATTAGAGGATTTAACACCTGAGTAGTTTCCTAATTACTTTGTCATTAGCTCAACTTAACCTCTGCCAAACTGGGGGAATGGTAAGACATTACTTTGCATGCATAAGTATTTTTACCACATGGAAAGGAACATGGAAGCCATTACTATCATAAGCCTAGGTAGTGGATATCTTTTGACTTCCTTATTGTTGTGTTTATTGTCACCAGTTGACATGCATACAAGGACAAGTGTTTGTTTGTTCTTCAGCCAAGATTCTGAATGAGGAATATAAGTGGAGCCTTTCTGGTGGAAACAAAAATGTTCAATTAGAGCTTATCAGCCACTGTCCAAGGTCCTGATTTCCTCTCACCTTCTACCAGAGCTGACAGAACTAGTGAGCTGTCTGTGGTCCTGAACTTCTGTCTCCTACCCAGTCAAAAGCTGCCTTTCCACTCTGGGAACTTTATCCTTTTGGTGGGAACTTCATCCTTTCAATCTTGAGTCTTTTAAGCTGCAAGTTGGAGTGCTGCGGGACAGATTAGTTCCAGCACAGCACTCATCATCCTTGGGCTGTTCCATACGTTTTCCTTCTGCAACCACTATTAGCAGCTGCTCACCCTGGATGATCCCATGTCTTGGAGATGCCCAGTCTGGCCATAACCATGTGGCCCTTGGTCAATGTCAAGCAACATCTGCAGACTGAGATCCACCGAGAGAGAATGACGGATCAAGTTAACACTAAAATGTCTGGTCTTATCACTATGTGTTATTAAAGGAGTTACAGCAGGACAGACGTTGTGATTTTTCTAGTGGCTGTTGAGACCATAGACAGTATAAAATATCATACATTATGGTAAATGGACCAGAGCACTTTATAAAGCATGCTTCATTCAAGTGCTTTATATGTAACACTCACATAGATTCATGCTCTGATGGTGCATCAGAGCATGAGCCACAGCTCCTGAGCCACAGCTAGCCCAAAATAAAAAGAAGACTCGTGGTTCCATACGCAGCATGTTATAGTGTATGTGTGGTTCTGGTCTGGGACCTCATTACCAGAAGAGCAGAATGAAAAATAACTGCTGGAGACAGCTTTGCAAGTACCTAATTGAAATTTTAGCACATTTAGTACAACATCCTGAAAGGGTGCAACATTTAGCTCCCATAGTGGCAAAGGACCTAAATTAATTCATCACAAGCTTCTTCTAAAACCTATAGACTTCTCTGAAGCATATAGCATACTCGCTGCCAACCCATATCATCATCCTTGTTTTCTGTAAACTAGCTTTTGTTTGTGTGTGTGGTGACTGCTGCTCCACCTCAGGCTATAGGGACAGACATGGCTCAACTGTCCCTCAATTATTGAGAGACTTGCAAACAAAAAGTGGGGGTTTCCTAAATTCCAGCTGACTGACTGACAGAGTAATCCAGTGTATGTACATGCTGATACCAGTGCTCTATTGTGAATCACAGTTGGTGTCACATAAAGGTCAGACTGACAGACTCTGTCTGTCTGAATAGTGAGTGGAGAGGCTGATGACATGAACTGACCATAATGTTACTGTTTGTCCTTATGCTGAAAAGATAAGTGCAGGTAGGTTGGTAAGAATCACTCAGATGAGGACAATACTAACCAGAGCAAGGTCCCCAGCCTCGAAAACCTGCCAGTTTGCAGGATTTTATACATAATGTCTGTTTGTGTGTGTCTGTGTGATGCTTAGAAAACAAAACAAAACGAAAGACACACACACACACACACACACACACACACACACACACACACACACACACACACACACACACACACACACACACACACACACACACAACTCGGTCTTTGCCCCCAGTCAGAGTTGGAAAAATTACAGTTTGATCCCCTTACCCTTGGAAACTGCCAGTCTGTCTGTACATCTTCACAAGTTTATCAGATTGCAAGCCGGGGTTTCACGTCGCCCGTGGGATTCAAGTTTCTGTGTTTTATTAAAAGCATCGGTCGTGCTAAAAACGAAGGCACACGCAGTCGTATTTCTGCATAACTGCCTCTGTGCCTTTCTTCCTAATACAATATTACTGTTATTGCTTTACAATGGATAGGTATACTTTGGAGCAAGACAAGTTAGGTGAGTGCTCAAATAGTTAAAGTTGAATGAGGATGAATTTAGATTTTTCTTTGTCATTACTGCAAAGTGGATAAACAATGAGACAAGATCTTATTTAAATTTCCATTTGGGAAGCCTAGAATAATCTCCGGAGGACAGTGCTTACAGTGTAATTGAGTAGAGCACAATTGTCATTATGTGTGTGAAACATGTAATGACAGTTAAAAACTGTCACTGAAAGCTCTCCACAAACAGGAAATGGGCCGGTAACTTGCTTCAGGGAGAATTTTTCCAGCCTGATTAACACCATGGCATCAAGTGAATATTATCGTAAAAGCAGCTTCCCTGTCTGAGATAAAGAATAAATATACTTTATCTTTCTTGTACAACGTTAAAATTAGAGGATTCCATGTCTGCTGGTTACCCTAGTACGGAGACAGCTAGCCTGCCTCTGCCTACCCAAGGCAACTGTCAGTGGTTGGTGTTACAAACAGCTAAATGTAAAGGCTTAAGACATTGGATGGCTGTGGCTCAGGAGGTACAGCAGGTCATTTTCTATTGGGAGGATTGGTGGTTTGACCCATGGCTGCTCCAGTGTTCATCAGAGTGAAAAGGGTAGTCAGAAAGTACTGAGCTGGGAAATGGACTGCTTCTTCTATAGTGCTTTTTCTCAACAACATACAACATGCCTCAGTTACCCATTCATTTATGCACTTTTTTTCTACATTTAAAAGCTTTCTGCCTAACATTCGCACTCTGATGGATGCTTCGCGGGGAAATTCTGGGTTAGTATCTTGCCCAAGAATATTTGCAGACTGGAACAGCCAGGTTTCAATTTGCAAAGCTGGACCTCATCACACCACAGATCTAAATAAGACCCTTGCGCTGATGTTTGTGAGAAGGCGCAACAGTTTGGATGATAAACGGACTGGTTCTTGCATAGCACTGTTCTACTCTATCTGAGCACACAAAGCACTTTACACAACTTGCCTCATTCACAAACGTGCGCACAAGCAATTTTTTTCTATGCTGTTTCTGACATTTACTTCATACTCTGATGGATGCATCAGAGAGCAACATGGGGTTAGTATCTTGCCCAAGGATATTTGGCAGACTGGGATCAAACCACCAACCTTCCAGTTAGTAGGTGACCTGCTCTACCACCTAAGCCACAGCTACTACTACATTATGTAGCGCATGAGTAGAAAAGCACTGTAACAATCAGTTTACCATCTACAGATGGAGGAACCGTTCTTTACAATTACCAATACAGTTTGCTTTTTCATATCTCTGTTTTTCTGAGTATATATCTTTGAGCTTGCTCATCTTGTTGCAGTAATATTCTATTTTTAATACATGGCTGTAACATCACACCCTCAACTTACCATCAAAGGTATGTGTAAACAAATGCACACTAATGGAACAATTATTAAGTACGGTTGGATTGGACCACTTTTGTCTTCAGAACTTGTCTCTTCATGGCATAGGCTCAGTAACGACCTGGAGGTATTCCTCTGAGAGTTTGGTTCATGTTGACATGACAACATCACACAGGTGCTGAAGATTTCTTGGTTGCACATCCACTGAGATCTGGTGACTGGTGATTGCTGGTGATTGCATTTATATAGTGCTTTTCGAGACCCAAAAAAGCACTTTCCACTATTCATTCACGCTCACATTGGTGGAGGTAAGCTACAGTTGTAGCCACAGCTGGCAGATTGACAGAAGTGAGGATGCCATATCGCACCATCAGCCCCTCTGCCCAACACCAGTAGGTGAAGTGTCTTGCCCAAGGACACAACGACCAATCCGGGGCTCGAACCGGCAACCTTCCGATTATAAGACGAACAGCCAACTCTTGAGCCACGATCGCCCCGAGTACTTTAAACAATTCCGTGACGTGAAAGACTAATGACTGTTATGAGAAACACTTGTTTACAGTTCTTGCTATCAGGAGTGGCACAATCAGTTATCAGTTATTATGTTTAAGGGGTAATTACCTTTTTACTTAGGGCCAGGTAGGTTTGGGTAACGTTGCTTCCTTAATAAGTCATAATTTAAAAGTGCATTTTGTATACACTTGTGTTATCTTTGTGTAATATTAAAATGTATTTGATGATCTGTGACTGTGACAAATCTAGTAAAATACAAGAAATCAGGAAGAGCACCAATACTTTGTTTTCACAGCACTGCACATGTTTCTAAAGTCCAATCACTGTGGTAATATCTGCGAAGTCCCTTTGCTTTGTGTTTTTCATACATCAACACTAAAAGTAAAATTGCATGTGGGTCCCCATTAGGATAAAGGATTGTGTGAGTGTGTGGGACTCTACCCTTAGGCTCATATTGTTAACTAGTCATGCATTATTATTTTTTAATAAATCTAACAAGTACTATGTGATACATTACGGTTTTTTGAATAACGACCCCAACACTCACAATCGTGACATAACTAGTTGAACAAGTCAGGAAGTCCAATGAAATTTAATAGAGTAGAAGTACAAAGTAATACAACACAGAAACGTACACCTAACACAAAAATTAAACTTGAGCAAAGCAGTGACTGAGTTAATCTACACAGATGCTTTCTAGAGATGAAAAAGGGCGAACTAACCTATGTCTGATGATCCTTGGCTCTCAATCTCCCTTCGACCTATGAAGTACCAGACACACGCCATCCAGTGCGCCAGCAGGGCGAACATGGACATCAGCAGGGTCAAGACCACAGCACTGTACTGTGAGTAGCGCTCCAGCTTCTGCAGCAGCCGCAGTAACCGAAGAAGCCGGACTGTCTTCAACAGGTGGACACCAAAGTACTGCACAGAGATACAGGCAATCTCAGCGCTCTGGCAATATTTCAGTCACTGTATTTCTTAAATCAAATGAATCATTAAGAAAGGTTGATACTCAGTAATGTGGGATACTGTATATAATACACATCATTTATTCAAACAGTTGGTAGTTTTACTCAAAAGTTGGAGCTTTAATGATTCACTCACATGAAATCAAACATTTTTAATCTTTATATACAAATATATATATGTATATATGTGCGTGTGTAATCAGTTCATCTTTTTTTGTTTGTGAGACATGCAGTGTGTGGACCGTCATGAGACATGTTGGTGTTGATGTGGTGAATTCACATGGGAGCTTGTTACATTATGCATTCATGTTCCCTTTAAAAACAAAGCTCGCTTCCTTCACCGTGTTAGTGCTGAAAATGAATGGAAACTGAACACATGTCAATATTCAAATATTTAACTTTACTATTGGGGTTTAAATTAGGGCTGCTCAATTAATTGAATTTTAATCTCAATTACGATCTGGGCTTTCAACGATCATTAAAAATGACTGAGCCAATTATTAGCCCCTCCCTCGTGCTTTACTCTCGCGCTGCTCCGTGTGGTAAATCGAGCGCACCTCTCTGCGTTTCAAACGTGTCACAACAATTAAGAGGACCCTAGGGAAGCTCGGAAAGCTAAGCAGAAGTTATTTGGAGAGGAGAGTGACTGCCATTGGTTGAAAAGAGAGGTAAAAAAAACTTCAGTGGTGTGGAAACATTATGGGTTCGCGGAGTCAGACGTGGATCAAGTAGACACAGTGTGTAAACTTTGCTACGGTGTCGTAGCTGCATCACGGAGCAACACTGCAAAGTTCACTAAACATAGATGTTTACATTTTTCATTTATTTTTTATATTGCAAACATTTGCAGTATTTGCACACTATTTTATATTATTTTTTTTGACAATCTTTAAAGTCATTATTCAACACATTGTTATTGTTAAATAAATATCGTCAAATAATCGAGATCTCAATTTCAGTGAAAATAATCGTGATTATCATTTTTGCCATAATCGAGCAGCCCTAGTTTAAATTATGTAGGCTGATTTGTCACACTGTTTGATTCTTGGTTCTGGTGGTGTGGTCACACACAAATGTCAACAGACAGAAACACACACACAGGGGAGACTCACCACGCTGACATTGAAAGCATACAGCAGGTCAAAGGGCAGGGCGGCAATGAGATCAACAAAGAGCCAGGTGGTGACGTAGTGAACGCAGATGGAGCGGGCGTCGTAGACGACCTGACCCGACGTGCTCACAAATGTAGTTCGAAAGTTCAGCAATATGTCTGCAGAGGACAACAACAACAGCAGTAATCAAGTGTCACTTAAATTACAGTGATGCATGGTAAACGCACAGCTACTTTTCAATGAGTCATATACACACAGCATGCATTGGTTACTTTAAATAAAAATAACAACACAGTATTAAAAAAGAATTTATGCACTTTTTTTCCAAAGGGGTATCTTTGCTGGGATGTCAGCAACAACCAGTTGTTGCTACCTGATATTAAAAGCTCCGTTCCCCTTTATTGTGAGCAAAAATCACTTCTAGTTTACAGCGCAGTTGAGAGCTAGTCCAGAATCAATGTGGCTCTATAGCCCCAAATGTAAATGTCTTGGGGTAAAGATACTTTTATGGTAGTTTTCATCATGTTTTTGAAATAAAAGTGTGTTGATACAGTTTGAGATGCTTCCATTACAGGGATAGTTTTTTTTTTAACACACCAGATTCAGATGGTCATTAGTTGTTTATTTTTAAAGGTACAGTTTTTAAAACACCACCACTATATGTCCGGTTTTATACCCCTCACAGTTCAAGTGCATAATCCATCTATAGTGGATTAAAGACATAAATAGCCACACCCAGCATTTCCTCCTAACAGCCGAGGGTGGCTGGCAGGTTTGTGTGTCAAAACATTTTTGCGCACAATATATTTTCACATATTTAAACAATATCATAACTTGGCAATAAATCAGGAATAAAAAACAGACCAATAATTTGCAGTATTTTCTCAAGTTTAACCCCAGAGTCACCTCTGTCTGCTGTTCATCTGCAGTTAGTGTAGGCTGTCAGTCTGCTGTTACCTCAGGTGTTAATACACTAAGGAGGCTGTAAAACAGGTAGATGAGTAACTGAAGCTCACCTCTGACTGATAAAGTAGCTCTAATATTGTTGGACTTGGATGCTTAATGAATAAACTCTCATGCAATGTGAGAATATAATCAGACTGTTTATTAGAGGGATCCATCCAGCTACTATAGGGTGGGAGGTGGGTACACCCTGGACAAATTGCCAGTCTGTAACAGAGGTCTAAAAAAATAAAAACATGATATAGTACATAGTATATATATAGTTATTGCTTGTTTTCAATTTAGACAAATTACTCATAAGATATTTGTGAAAGCTAAATTGCTTAAGCTTAATTGAACGGACATCAGCAAAGTGCAATAGAAACTAGCTCACTCTCTCAGGGTAAGTGATTTTCTAGCTGTAGGGCATTTTGAACAACCAGGGGAATTTCAAGATGGTTTCTGATGACTTGCTTCCAGAAGAACCACAACATACAGCTAAACGCAGCGACTGCACCACCCAGTCCTTCAAAGTATGATATGATCCTATTCAAAGAGCCAAGGCTTTGAAGCTTGCTGAAAAAAAAACAGACGAGGACAACACGACAATAAAAAAAGACAAACAGTCATGATTAGCTCTTCAATGTTTGCTCTATGATTTTAATTTTACTGCATGGTATTAAGGAACGAAATGAATGAATAAAAGGTGTCCCGGCAGACTATTTCAATCCACTATTGTTTGCTGGTGAATGTATCAATAAATAGGCACGGCCTATTAGTCCTAATAAATGGGATATCGACTGACAGGAGTCAGACATTTAACTGCGGGTGGCTCGTGTAATTTCATTACGAAAGTTTATTGATGGAGAGCTTGTGTTCACTCTTTCCCATTAACACAAATCGTCCGCTGAAGAGCACTCATGTAAGTTTCCTGCAGTTAGGGTGGACATGACCGAGAACAAAGAAGCCTGTTGTTTTCTGGGAAATGACTTAACAATCAGATGTAATGGCTTATTGTGGAATGGCTCATATCCTTTTCCCTGCAACATTCATCATTAAAAACTTGAACAGAACTTTTATAATGAGAACTTCTATTAGGAGTCACATGCCTATCAGACAAAGGCTGTTTGACTAACTTCCCATCAGCAGACAGTTGATATAATCAAAAAGAATTTTGCAACAGTTACACTGCCAGTAAAACGTTCTTTGCACACCCACTCATTCAGGCCATTTTCTTTTTGTTTCTAAACACTTGAAGAGATTTCTTAAGCTGGCCTAATGTTTTTTTCCTCATTTGCTGTTACAATTGTTCATATTGAATTTGAATTTATTGAATTTATTGAACAAGGCCAGAGTTTCAAAAATGTTCAAGTATCCCAAAAGCTCAGACTTCACTTTTATTGTCACAAAATTTTGTTTATTTTCTTTGATTTTTATAATGTCAAAGAGAGAGAGCGCAACCCCAATACGGTCGTCTCATGCACACAGCTCTGAGTGTGTACACAGCACGCCTACTCAACTTTTTTACTCAACTAAAAGTTGAGCTCACAATGATTTCTACTGTGGGCTCCAGTAGATTTTCTTAGTGTACAGCTGACCTGTGCTGCTGCTGCTACTCTTACTGCTCTTTGTGGGTGAATGAATTCAATAAGATGTAAGCAGATGAGCTATCTTGGCTGATTTCCGTCCTCTATACGTGCAGTATGCTGTTTATATGCTGCCTTTACATGAGAAAGAATAAAGTTGGTTGAAAGGTGGAAGTTAGTGAGTAACACCAGCTTAAATTTTAATTCGTGTCAACTCACGCTGACGAAGAACACGTCAGCTGCTGTGCACCAGTGCATTACTGTAAACTGACCACAGCTGATACCTGTCACTTTAAAGCGTCACTCCATTTATAAATCAGGATGAACTGAAGGCCTGCGCCAAGGCCCAGTAGAAGATAAATGTGAATAATGCAAAGCTATGCTAGCAGAGGCAGCAAATAAAGCTACAGAGCTGATAATGAGGATACTAGGTAGTTCATACAACAGGTGGCAGTTTTCAGCAGTCCACTGGTGGTATTTATTTGTAGTTTAAGCCTCCGCTCTGCTGTGTCAAGGTATTTTTTTTGGTATACAGGAAACAGAGCTCAACTGCTATTGTATTCATATTATGGCAAGTCCATCGTTATTTTATTAATTTAGGTCAGGACAGAAGAACTCTTAAAGTTTCTTCCAGAATGACCAGTTGCTGTAACGACACAGACTCTCATGAAGACAAAAGGAAGACTACCAGCTCCCTTTGCTGCAGAGTTACCAGCCTCAGAATCAAATCAACAATTAACAGCCTCTCATATTCATCAGTGGCCTCATTAATGCTTGACAGACTCTAGGCAGCACACACATTTTATTTTATTAGCTTTTTGGAAGAGACTGGGAATCAGGCCATTAAGCTTATAAGACTACTAAGAAAACCACGGCTGAGGGAGACCAGGAAACACAAGGAATGGAAACGAGACCAGTGGAAGTCTAGACTCTTGTCCAAAAAATTCAGTGTGAGCTTCTTGATTTAAGATGCTGCATTTTATGAGATACAGCAAGTGTCAATAGAAGATTGAGGCAAAGCTCTGAAAGACTGTGGAAAGACTTTGCTGGAGATTGTTGGAGATGTTTTCAAAATTCAAAGCACAACTTAACCCCTACAACCTCCACAACACCCTACTGAGGCACAGTTTCTTGTCTAGTTTGAGTGAGACAGCCATCATTTTTCAGGAGCAAAATGAGCCAAAAACACATTTCTTTTGACCAAGAAGCAGACTGACAGAGGGACGAGTTAGACTACAGAGTGAAGGAAAAGTCCTCAGCATTTGTTAAACAATGGTACAAAACATTCAGGTTTCATTTTCTTGGTTCCTACTTTCTAGGTGTGTCCAGTCTTTCTAAGACTTCTTGCTAAAGGAAACAAGTTCTATGGATGGTTAGAAGAAAGCACCAACATGAGAAGACGGCACACTATCTTACCTAAAATGAAGAGGATCTCGACGAGGATGTCGCTGACGCTGGGCGGGCTGCGTGAGGCGCTGCCTTCATCCCGCCCTCCCCCGACCGTGAAACACACGTTATAGGGCACAGTGACGGCCACGTAGAAAGTCGCCAGCAGAATTAACCAATCCCAGCCGGCCTTGAAGGTTCCATAGTGGAGCAGGATGAAGCGAGATTTCTGAATGGCTGCTACTTTGTATTCCGGGATTGGAGGCTTCTCCCCAAACATGTTCTGGATTGAGAGGGAGACAGATGTCAACAGCTCTCTTGTTTCAGGTCTTTACATCTCTCTCGTTGTCCCTCTGCCGGGCCACGATAACACGGCCCTGTGCACACACTTATCGAGCCACTTCAAGCTTCGAAAGCTCACACTGTGCAGAGGCATTATAAAAATCCACAGGAGTGGAGATTTCAGATTCATTCCACTTGATATAACAGTGCAGCCATGAAAACACTTTCAACCATTCATAAGTGGGTTATTGCTTTTGCAGAGTTTGAGTAAAGTCTACCAACACTGACAAAATGGTTTTCCCAGCACTAAGAAAGAAGAAGAAATGTGGGACCACTGGTTCCAAGCATTAACTCTCACACCTGTGAAATATGTTTTTATGAAAAAGAATCTTATTTGTAATTCATTCATTTCCTTTGGAATCAGGCAGATTAACCAAAGAACTCATTTTGTTTCCTGTGTGAGGTTCTCCGCACTCAAGTAAAAATCTGACGCAGCTGTACTTTCAGTTTATCCAGTTCATGCAACTATAAGCCTGAGTTGTTATGTTTACCATGATTTTTGCATGTCCAGCATAAACCATTTATGAACTGTACAGACAGGCATTTAGTCTGAAATACAAATGATACTGTTTCATTTTTCTAATGGGATTGTTGTTTTGTTGGGTTTGTTTAATGAGCTCCATCAATGTAAATGTTTTTTGTATTCTGGACTATTTTTATGTGAGAAAGTCAACACGTAATGGAAAAAATGATTTGACTTAAAGCAAATAATGAGCAAATCAGGAATCACCTGGTAGCTGATAATCTGTTCATTAGTGAAATTTAGAGAAGATGTTTATTTACTGCCAGTGAGATTTTTATATTAGTGAATCACTGGGTAAAGTTTAGCTCAATATTATCTGATCTAACTCATACATCCATTAATTCCTGATTGACTCTGCAGACACTAAACATTACTGATTACATAGAGCCAGAATCCTTTCTTTGATTACTTTACTTAATTAAAGAGTCATTCTTTGGGTAACGGTGAGATTCCCATTAAGTAATAAAGACCTACTGAGTAAGAACTGGGTGCTTCACAACATGAACCTCCCATAAGATATTTTTTTATGTCCTGACTGCTTATTTTAGCCTGGGTCAGGAGTCATTAGAGTTTCTAGATCATTAGCTATCACGTGATTCCTCGTTTGCTTCTCAGTTTTTGTACACAAGTTATGAATTTCTCTCTTTTGAGAAGTTAAAAAAGCAAATAATGATGGCCTGGGTTGGTGGTCATTGAACATGCAGGGTACAAACTGCATCGTTCTGCATGTTTCCTAATCACTGACATCAGCTAAATGTAGATCTGCTTTACCACGGAGTAAACCAAAACCAAGCATAGTCCTCTTGTCCTTCACGCCATCTGTCAGGGTGTGCGCTGCCCGCTGGACTGCAGCAGACCTACAGAGAGGTCAGCTCACTAACACACAGCCATAATCATCATCTCCTGTGATGCCAGGTCTGAGCAGTAATGATAATTTCCCATTTCATAACATTTCGTTGTCAGTTTGCAGTGTTCTTCTTCTCTTGGCTCTTGACAGAGGTGGTCGCACTTTCTCCTTCTCCCTCCCCTTCATCTTTCCTGCTTGGCTTCTCATGTCTTTTGTATAGTCTCGCTTATTCTCTAACCCTAAGAGAGTCTCCCAGACTTGTTCTCCTAAAACCTAAAGAAGAATTATGGATTTAATTAACTGGTCCCTTAACGAAACTGACAACTCTGGGCTTGGGAGAGCCTGATTGTCCTGCGGAGACGTTTGGTGCTGGATACTCGATGGTCGGATGCATCGTGTGTCTGATGACACTCTCGATGAAGGACATTCAACGACAGCTACCAATTTGGAACCATAATAACAGAGTTCTGGCTGATTGGAGCTGGCTTGGACCTGGCTTATCGAAGAACAAGAAGCGGCTACAGTTGTTCAAAATCCCACAAGGCTGGCTGTGTGTACTCAGACTGTGTTTATTTGAACGCAATATGGATATGATCTTGGAGAAGCTCATGGCTCTGCTATATGGATAACATCTTGAAGAAGAACAACAGGAATTGAGAGACCTGGTGACCAGTGACGGACATTAGACGAACTGTAAAATTGGAAGCAGTTTGTTCGCACTAACCAAAACAACTACCATCTTCATCTCATGCAGGCCTCCTGACTCCAGCTGGATGCTCAAGGCAAAAGCTGACGGGAATAACAATTCTCCTTTAGATAACAAGACTGTGTTGTGACTTTCTCCCTCCTCATTCAGGGTCGCCCGTGTCGACCGAAGATTGTTGACTTTTGCCTAACTGGGTTAAGGGACACTTTCTCTCAGCTAAACATGAACACACACACTCTCACACGCACACATATGCATGTACACTGACACAGACCTACACTCACTCTTATGTCTTCTACGTTGTGAGATGTGCTGATTCATGTGCTGAGGTGTTTTTTTCTGTTCTCAAACTGATCTCCCTGTTGGAGCTCAGTCTGGGAGGAGTTATTTTTTCTCCTCATCTTTCCTCATGTTGTGCATTTCCCATTGTTATACCTCTCTGACCTGTCTTCCCCATGTGATGTTGTAATGTATGTATGGTCGGAAGGGTAAGATGGCGCTGGCAAAGGTCGGCAGCCTTAACCCAACAAATTTACCACGCGTGGGACTAATAAAGGTTATCTTTATCTTTTGCTTTTTGACACACAATCATTAACTCAAGCTGAAATATTTGGACTGTGTTGTCTCTGTTACTTTAAACCACACACCTGCACCAACAGCCGGGTGCACTGCTTTAATGCTCAACTCTTTTTCAGTCTGAACTCATGCTAAGGCAAATAATACAAGCTACTATGCTATCAGTGGCTTCCCCGTTGTTTAGTTCAGGGACTGCTGTTGCAACTAGGGGAGCAATTAAACTGACTGCCTTTCATCATAATGAGGCAATAACCTTTTTTTTCTCCCATCTCCAGTCTTTGGAGAATCTTTTCATGGCTGCATAACATGTATGTGAATTAAAAGTTTTGCATGAATAAAGTAAACTCATGATTTTAACTCTGTCACTTCAGTGTCATCACCAGTGCCAAAGTCCCAAGTGTGAAGCTAATGACTGAATGAGAGGCAGTCTGGAGCCAGCCTGGCATACAATAACACTTCCTCTGGCATCCAAACATGTTTCGTTTTTATTCTAATATGAAAAGAATATTCCTGGCCACAAACTTAGCCTGCAGCCAGTGAATTTACATTCCTAAATTTAATGCTTCTCACGTAAACATAGTGGAAATACTGCTAACCCACCCAAGCCCTACGCTTGATCTTTATCCAAAAAA